AAAAATATTAAATTTTAATACTTTCTAATCAAGTCTATGTAAATCCACCTCTACCTTTCTTAAAATAGACCAGATTTAATATCTCAACTCTACTAATAGGGTCATCGAAAGGCACATTTTATGTGACCAACACTGTTGTTGTCAGGTCCTAAGCTCTAGATAAGAAAAATAGAATGTTATGTTCGGTAGTTGAAAACTGGTGTAAAACTTGTTGAACAATCATGATATATTTTTTGTTTCATATTGCGATTATTTATTTTCTTTGTATTCTATGTTGTTTTGTGTATAGATGCACATTGAAATAATAAATAATCTATAAGCCTTTCTAGAAATATCTTTTTTTTTTCTACAATCTGAAATATTCAAAATTGCTTTAGGAGTGACAGAAGGATTTAATCCTCCCCTTTAACATTATATTCTGGCCATAAACTAATCTAAACAACTTGGCCAGTGATCGGTCTTTTTTCATATCCAGGATAAAGTTCCAACATAGATAAACACAACAACATAGAATAAATTGCTGCTCTGCTAATGTTGATAAAGTTTATGGGTATGATGGCTTACTTTGCTACTTCCCAACAGATCTTATTTTCAATTTTACCATTCAGTTACATGATTAATGAAAGCAATTATAATTTTGTTAGTAAGCTTTAAGCTTTTTGACAATGGGCATCTTATATTTCATGCTTTTGACATATAAACATAATCTACATTCTGCATATGTTTCTAACGCACAATAGTAATAAAAATAATATCAATACCTAGTCATTAGTGTAACAGGTCCAACTTTTCAAGTAATTATGGTATGATCTGTGCTTCAAGCTGATGCATCCTCTCTCAGAACAATATTAAACACCCACAGAGAATAGTAATTTGTACATTTTATAGTCCGTTTCTGTATAAAATGGCTTCAACGAATTTAATTAAAAAAAAAACAATTCTGTTGGAAACATGCAACAATTCCATTCCAAATTACTAAAGACTCATGCTGGATGAACACAGCAAAGATGATTAAAAACTGCATGTCTTCAGTTGAAAACAATCAATGTGTTCCAAAGAGCTTCCAGAACAACATATAAAACGACATGCAGTATATTCGTAATAGTCACAACTCACAAGCCCATCATAGCGTTAACTACAGAGAAATCAACTGGTAAAAAAAGAAAACATGAGCAAAGCTGTAGTCCAAATCTTTGAATGGTGATCACTTGGCTGCCAAGCTGTCTATTTATACACTAGATTCAGCTTTGTATCATTCGATAAGACAGCATAAAAAGATGATTAGCTGAAAGGTCAAAGGGAAAAGTTGGAGACCCAGGCAATTGTGCAATTGGAATTGCCGGTGAAGACACGAGCAAGGAGTTGTCAATGCGGTCAAGCCGTAATGTGGGGAGGATGTGCAATATCGCTGTGATGCAATGAGGAGAGTAGTGATGAGCAATGGAGTGGATGAATGAAGCAAAACAAGTGAACGATAAATGAAAAAAAAGCATTGAGAATTGGAAGGGTATAGCATGGCAGGCCCAGCGAGATAGAATGAATAATGGAGTGCAGAAGCTACACAAATGAACGCCTCAAGAGGAAGGAAAGCTAGGCAAAGATAAAGCAGCAGACAGAAACCAAAGAGGGGAGGCCACAAGAAATTTTAGATTACAATACAATGTCTAATAATCCTTAATACAAGACTACCACTCTTTTTATAAGCTTAAAACTAAAATACTTGCCTAAAACATATAACAACAAGAAAGAAAAGAAATAATGCATCCTTATTATAAATGTAAAATATCCTTAAAATCCAACCATTTAAGGGAGATACCCTCAAGTCCTCAATCTCCCTATTGAAACTCAAAAGACACAACTCTTAGCCTAACTCAAGTGGTTAAGAGGGGAAAAAGATGAGGGTCAGACACTCAGACCAGTCTAATACTAGTGGCCATAAGAGGATTGACAAGTCCTAGCAACAGTTGAAAAAGGAGGAAAATTCGTGCAAGATAGGAAAATAATATGCAAAGGATGAAGAAAAAGATTCAAAAAGAACAAATAAAATAAATAAATAAATAACTTATATAAGCTTTTAAAAGGCAAGGATATAGAAACAGAACCATAAATCTAATAAATAAGATACAATGATGAAGACATACCACCTATGCTAAGAATTATGATTGCTCGTGATGATAATGATGACAATGTGAACATGAGCACACAAGTGCATGTACTTCTAGGAGAAGGTAAATAGGGACAAACTGCGGCACAGTCTAAAAGGTGAGATAAATAAAAGAAATATAAATTGGAGGAGCAACCCACTTTAAGTGAAACACCAAACATATCAGAACAGCATAATTGTCAATGAGCATAAGGTTGAAATTCGCAGAAGATCAAAACCAACAATTGAAACATGGATTGGAATGGGCGCATATCCCTAAACCACAAGAATAAACTATCCTTGGAACTTGAAATCATCGCTTAAATTAGATTTTGAGTACTTCAAAGTTTCAAATCTAAAGAAAGAATTGTCAATATATTTTATTAACACATTTTAGCATCCAAAATACACTTTACTAAATTCTTACTACTCCTATCCTTTTGTTTGGTTAACTTATACATATATCTTTCTCCATCCTTAGTATCTAACCTATTAAAGATGAAGATTAAAAAGTATTTTTCTTAGAAGATGATATTTCAACAAAGGTGGATGAGATATTTTGCTAAACATTTTAATGAAGAATGTGAAAATATGATTTACTTTAGAGACCTTACTACCCTAAATGAAAATAAAGATTTCAATTTTTATTGACAACAACAACAACAACAAGTATTATGCTTCTCTTTTAATGGCCAACATTCGGCACCATAAAGCATTGCAGGCCTCACTACCATCTTTATTGACGTGTTAGTAAAACTGAAGTTAGAGAGACTTTAAAGAAAATGAAGTGTGGAAAAGCTGTTGGACCTGATGATATTCCAATAGAGGTGTTGGAATGCTTAGGAGATGAAGGAATTTCTTGGCTTACTAAACTTTTTAATATTATTTTGAATACTAAAAAGATGTCAAATCAATGGAGAATGAGTGTGTTAATTTCAATTTTTAAGATTAAAAGTGATGCACAAGATTGTGTAAATTATCGAGGAATTAAGTTAATATGTCATACTTTAAGACTATGGGAGCGAGTTATGGAGCATAGGTTGCGGCATGATACTAATGTTTCTCAAAATCAATTTGGTTTCATGCATGGTAGGTCTACTATGGAAGCCATACATTTATTGAGAGGTTTGATGTAGAATAAGGAAGACCTACATATGATTTTTATTGATTTAGAGAAAGCATATGAGAAAGTTCCAAAAGAAATGTTATGGAGAGTTCTTAAAAAGAAAGGAGTTAATAAGACTTATATTCAAATCATTAAAGATATGTATGAATGAGCTATTACTTGTGTTCAAACACAAGGTGGTTTAACCAAGTATTTTCCTATTTCATATGGATTACATCAAGGATCAGCCTTAAGCCCATATATTTTTGTTTTATTCACTGATGTTCTCACTAGACATTTGCAAGAGGATGTACATTGGTGTATGCTTTTTGCTGATGATATTCTTCTTGTTGATAAGACTAGAAAGGGAGTTGAAGGTAACCTTGAATTATGGATGTCAACCTTAGAGTCTAAAGGTTTTCGCTTGAGTAGATCTAAAATTGAATATATATAGTGTAATTTTAGTAGTAATAGACCTAGTGAGAGGCGTGTGATTTTGGGCGATCAAGTCATTAATAAGAGTATACGTTTTAGATATCTTTGATCTATTATTCAGAGTGATGGTGAAATAGATGGGGATATTATCAACAGAATTTAAGTTGGATAGTTAAAGTGGAGGAATGCATCGGGCTTGTTGTGTGATAGAAAAGTCCCCCTCAAACTTAAGGGAAAATTCTATAAGATGGTGGTGAGACCTGCAATGCTTTATGGTGCCGAATGTTGGCAATTAAAAGAGAAGCATAATACTAAGTTAGGTGTTGCAGATATGAGGATGCTCAAGTGGATGAGTGGCTTTACCCTTAGAGATAGGATACGAAATGAGCATATACGTGAAAATGTTGGAGTAGTGCGAGTGGACGATAAGATTAGAGAGAGTCGTCTTAGATGGTTTGGTCACATAAAAAGGCGACCTTTTGATAACCCAGTTAGGAAAGTAGAGGTATTAAATTTGACTTATGTTAAGATAGGTAGAGGTAGACTAAAAAAGACTTGGTTAGAAAATATTAGAAATGATCTTTCTTTATAAGATTTAAACAAGAATTTGACATTTAATATGACACAATGGGGAAAAAGGATTCATGTAACTGACCCCAAGTAGTGGGACAAAGGTCTGATGTTGTTGTTGTTGTAGTATTGTAGCATCCAAAAACAACTAAAATAGAAGCAGTTGGTAGAATAGTTCACTCTAGAATGACGTAGATCAGATTAACAATAAGACAGTCTTCATTATGGAAATAACTAATACAATAAAGTCATGCTCATCTAATCAGTAAATGCCAGTTACAACTTAGGCATAAAAATATATGTAGCATGTAAAATCTTAACAACGATATGCATTACATATCTTATCATTATGCACGCATTTTGCACATAATTAGAACAGATAGGGCCGTGGCTTTTCTCAATAAAAAATGCCAGGCCAACTTATAAAAATGGTGCTTCTAACAATATGTGCAGGGAAGGAACAACTGCAGAAAAGTAGAGAATTTTAACGTGTTCAAACACCTCGGTCAAACAAAATAGTTGAACGTTCAGACCATAATCTTTAACTTTATTTGCAATACTCTCATTCATTTGTCAAGTCAACATACTGCTTTAGCAACGATATAACGCTATGTTTACTGAGCAATAAATCACCAACTCATGGTTAAGCTTGAACAATCGTCAACAATAATCTTCATCATCAATCAAATGTTAATACCAACAACAGTAGTACTTCATAAAAATGAGAATGACAAGTAGGAAGCATACAATTTTCAAGAGTGACTTCTGCATCTTCCAAATTTAGACAACTCCAAAAATTCTCATGCATACTTGCAGCCAGCCACTGTTTGCAAGTTGCACCAGCTTTGCAGAGATCCCTTTGGCTTAAAAAAGAGAAAACCTGCACTTAAAGACTTTCTAAACATGAATACTTTGTTACTAAACAGTAAAGGCTACACAAGGTAGTTAGTCAGAGCATACCAGATGCAAAAGATCCTCAGTGAGATCCATTCTATTCTCTGAATTATCAACATTGCCAGTATCAGTTTCGCCTCCATCATTCTGAGAACCATTAGAAAGTTCGGAAATTCTAACAGCATCTATGTTATGGCAGTAATCCATCATCTGACTTCCAGATGAACCCAAAGTATGAGAATCAATGTAGTTCTCAATAGCAGGCAGAGCAGCCGTTTCATCAGCAAATAAAGGTGTTGCAATAAGGTGTGCCCTGAGAAAAGCAGAAGGAAATAAATATTTGCATAACTGGCTAACAAATCCATGCATTTCAAGAGATCTTTGGTACGGTGCCGGCTGAACCGATCCAACATGGACCGGTTCAAGTATACAAACGGCGGCTCAAAATGGGGCGGAACGGGGGGGGGCAGCTTCAATGGGGCCCACTTGCTTTTTTGAAACAGCGATTAGGAGGAAAAATTTGAATTAGGGGCTGTTTAGAGATTTTGTAAACTCCTTTGACTTTAATTAGTCTTTTGGAGGTTAGGGTTACGATGATCTTGAGATTGAATGCAATTTCGAGATCTAGGGTTGGTGTTCTTGGGCTCTAGGTTTGCTAGAGATTTGGAGAGTATTTCTTCCTCTCGAATTGAAGAAAATTGTATCTTGCTCTGTGTTTCTTGTTTGTTGCTTGAATCAAAGTATTTTCCTTGTGTTTTCTTCTCCAATCCACTAAAATTTCTGCTTGGTTCTTGTTGATTTCTCATTGAAATCAGCCCTTTTACCGCTGTTTTTGTCCGATTCTTGCTATGTTTGCTTGCAAACTCAAGTATTACCCTTGGGGTTACTTGCGAACTCAAGTACTTACTATTAAATTGGTATCAGAGCATTGTCTTGGGACCATCGGCGGCTGAAATTCAGAAATTTCAACAAGGAATTTTCATCCGCAAGAAGTCTTCTTGGAATCCTTGGGAAGGAAGATGACCGGAAGGAAAGTGGAAGTATTAGAGGGAGAAATAGGCCAATTGAAGACCGATTTTGAGAAAAGAACCGCTGATTTTCAAAATAAATTTCCTTCCATCAATGAAAAGATGAATGGGAGGTTCACCGCCTTGGAAGACATGATGAAGAAGATGTTTGAGGTCAAACAAAATTCGATGACATCGGAAGCAAGGGAAACCACCGACGACAATGGGAGATGCGGAAATCCGAACCCATTTAGGGGGAGGGAGAATCCGGAAGTGGAGATCCTTGAGGGGAATGATGGAATGCCTCCGCTAGAACCACTTTCTGGAGAGGAGATGAGCATGGGCTTTGAAAGGAGGGGTGCTGAATTTTTTGGGAGAAGGAATGAATTTTACCGCTAGGGTGCTGAAGATGAAAGGAGAAGAGGGGAATATGAGGAAGGGCTTGGGTATGATCGTCGGAGGGAAGATCGTGGCCACTGTAAAGCATTTCCTTCTCGAGGAATGGGAGGTTATGGAGGAGTTAAACAGGTGTGACCTGACCCGGGGTGAGGAAATTGAAGATGCCCATCTTTGAGGGAGAGGATGCACATGGCTGGATCTACAAGGTGGAGCGATACTTTGCAGTCAATGGGTTGACATATGAGGAGAAATTGATAGCGGCAAGACTGTGTTTGGAAGGGAAGGCACGGGTGTGGTACCAATGGCGGGACATGAGGCGGCCCATTCGAAGCTGGAAAGAGTTCAAGGACTATCTACTAGAACGTTTTCGAACTAGTAGGGGATGGGACTTCTACAAGCAATTCTTTGCCCTGACGCAGGAGAGGACAATGGCAGAGTACCATGATCGATTTGAATATCTAGCGAGCAGGTTGGATTGTCTTTCTGAAATCGCGCTGGAGGGGAACTTCATGAAAGGGTTCAAACCGGAGATCAGAGCAGCCGTTAGAGTGATGAAACCGTGCGACTTGGGGGAGGCCATGGAGTTGGCGCATCTGGTTGATGACCAGAAGCATCTTGAGAGGGGGGCTCGAGGCAGTAGCTCAAGGGGATCCTACATGATGACTACTACTTTTCTAGCTCCAAAAGGAGCTGCACCGGGAGGTTCACGCGAAGCACAAACGGAGAGGACTGGAGGAGGGGGCCTGGAGAAAATTTTAAGAAGCTGACTGAAAAGAAGATCCAGGAGAAGCAAGCTAAGGGGTTGTGTTTTAGGTGTGATGAGAAGTGCATGTCAAGGCATATGTATAAGGACCGAACTCTTCAGGTTCTCACCGTTTGCGATGACGAGGAAATTGAAGAGGGAGGGGAGAGCGGGATAGTGGAGGAGGAAGAGAAGTTACATCTGGACGTCGCAGAAGTCTCTATAAACTCTGTGATTCACCCCGAATCACACCATGAAAGTAAGGGGAGAAATAGGGGATCGGGAGGTAGTGGTGCTGATCGATTGTGGGGCCACCCACAATTTCATCTCTCTAACCAAATCGTTAATCTGTTAGGGGTGAAATTAGTGGACACGAGAGGATATGGCGTAATGATGGGTACTGGGAAGGTGGAGATGGGGAGAGGAGTATGCAGGGGAGTGGTGTTGACCATTCAAGGGATATAGGTGAGGGAGGATTTTCTTCCCTTGGAGTTGGGAAGTACCGATGTAATCCTGGGGATGAAATTGCTGCAGACTTAGGGGGAGACCAAGGTCAACTGGGGTGCTCTGAGGATGAAAATGATGGGTGGGAGGACAGAGGATGGAGATCCAGGGCGATGCAGGGCTATCCAGGGTAGGAGTATCTCTAAAATCCATGATCATATCTATACAGGAGGTGAGAGGGGGGTATTTGGTGGAGCTGCAATGCTTGGAGAGGATCAGTGTGGAGGAAGAGGGAGACATTCTAATGGTGGTGCAACCACTCATACAACAGTTCAGGGAGGTGTTCCAGCCACATCAGGGATTACCACCACCCAGAGAGCAGGAACATGCAATCCTTCTGAAAGATAGGGTGTCACCAATAAGTGTTCGACCTTACCACCACTACCCCCAAATTCAGAAAGATGAAATTGAGAAACTGATTAGGGAGATGTTTGAGGTAGGGATTGTCAGACCAAGTATGAGTCCTTTATAGTCTAGTCTTACTGGTCAAAAAGAATGATGGAAGCTGGAGGTTTTGCAAGGATTTGAGGGCCTTGAACAAGGAGACGGTACCGGATAAATTTCCCATTCTGGTAATCAATGAGTTATTAGATGAGCTGCATGGAGCAGTAGTGTTTTCTAAGATGGACCTGAAGTCGGGATACCACCAAATCAAAATGGAGGAAGATATTCAGAAGACGGCTTTCAGAATGCACGAGGGGCACTATGAGTTTTTGGTGATGCCATTCGGGCTCACTAATGCCCCTGTTACTTTCTAGTATTTTGATGAATAGGTTGTTCCGACAGAATCTCAGGAAGTTTGTGCTAATCTTTTTTTATGACATCCTAGTGTACAGCCAAACAGAGGAGGAGCATCTAGAGCACTTGAAGATGGTTCTTAAAATTCTACAAGCACATCAGCTGAGGGCTAACCTAAAGATGTGCATCTTCGCCCAGTCTAGGGTGGAGTATTTGGGACATGAAGTGTCTCAGGAGGGAGTGGCGGCCGATCAGTCAAAAATTGAGGCAATGCAGAAATGGCCAATGCCTAGGAATAAAAGGGAGTTGAGAGATTTTCTAGGATTGACTGGATACTATAGAAGGTTTGTGAGGGGGCAAAATCCCATCACTTGGCCGTTGATTGAACAATTAAAGAATGACAATTTCTCATGGGGAAAGGCAACAACCCAGGCTTTTGAGAGGTTGAAGAAAGCCATGACGACTGTCCTAATGTTAGCTCTTCCGGATTTCAGCTAGATCTTTGTAGTAGAAACCGATGTGTTAGGATATGACTTGGGGGCAGTGTTGATGCAGAATCACATACCTATAGCCTACTTTAGTCAGGTGTTGTCGACTAGGGCTCGACTGAAATCATTATAGGAGAGAGAGTTGATGGCCATCATCTTGGCCATTCAAAAATGCGCCCTTACCTTTTGGGTAGGCATTTCATTGTTCGTACATATCAGAGGAGTTTGAAGTACCTATTCGAGCAAAGGATGGTGATCGAGGAAGAAAGATAATAATAGCCATTTGGCCGGGGGTTGTCAAAGGCTTTTAGGCTATGATTTTGAGATCCAGTATCGGCCGTGGGTGGAAAATAAGGCGGCTAACGCCTTATCCAGGTGTGTTGGGGAACTTCAGGAGTTGGCAGTTTCAGTACCACTGTTGGTTAATTGGGGCCATCAAGGAAGAAAGCATGCATAACGAGTTGAAGAATATCAGGGAGGATTTGATGAAAGATAATAGTAGTCATTCGGGAGACTATCTTGAGGGGGAGAGGTTGTTCCATCAGGGGAGATTTGTGATGCCACGAACATCCGTACGCATTCCTCACTTATTACAGGAATTCCACGGCAGTGGAGTTGGAGGTCATTCAGGAGTACAGAGGACATATAGGAGGTTGGCATCAAAGCTCTACTAGAAGGGGATGTACAAGGATGTTGAGGACATGATAACAAAGTGTGAGGTGTGCTAGAGAAATAAATATATGGCAATGGCAACAAGAGGATTGTTTCAACCATTAGCACTTCTAAACAGAATATGGGAGGAAGTGTCTGTGAACTTCATCAACGACCTACCCCGCTCAGAGGGATTCATAGTCATTTTGGTCGTGGTGGACCGACTTAGTAAGTAAGCACATTTTATCCTCCTATGACATCCCTACACCGCAGTATTAGTGGCAGCAGCATTTATCAGGGAAGTAGTTATATTACACGGGATTCTTGAATCAATTGTGTCTGATAGGGACAAAGTGTTCCTCAGCTAGTATTGGAGGGACTTTTCAGGATTCAGGGCACTATTCTCAAGAGAAGTACCGCCTACAATCCACAGACAGACGGACAAACAGAAGTGGTGAACCGGAGTTTGGAAACATATTTGAGGTGTTTTGCTTCTTAAACACAATAGAAGTGGGCCAAATGGTTACCATGGGCTTAGAATTGGTACAATACTTCGTACAATTCTGCGTCCCAAATGACTCCTTTTACAGTGCTCTATGGAAGAGACCCCCACAATTAGTGCATTTTGTAAGAGGAAACAGACCAATCTCTTCAATCGAACAGTACTTAAACGAAAGATACCAAATGTTGGAAGAGTTAAAGAAACATCTGGGGAGGGCACAACAAATCATAAAGAAGCGGACAGATACACACAGGACAGACATACAGTATGAAGTGGGAGAGA